CAGACGTGTGCTCTTCCGATCTCCCCAAAACCCCAAAACCCCAAAACCCCATGCAATTAATATTTGTGTATTACATATAGTAAGTTTATTAAAGTATATACATATACTCATATATATTTAATGGAAACAAAGAAAATTCTCAAAAAGCAGGACAAGCTTAGGAGGAAGCTCTAGGAGAAGCAAAAGAAGCTAGAAAAAGAGGAGAAGAAGCCAGTCAAAGTTGAGGATTCTGATAGCGATTCAGAGCCTGAAGTAGAGCAAGTCAGAGATAAAAAGGAGAGAAGGTTGTCAGCAGTAAGTGATAAGCAAAGTGAGAAAGATAATATCAAAATCGATGCAAATGAAGAAGAGAAAGAAGTAGACGATAAAGCAGACAGTAAGCAATAGAAATGTGATTTATGTGTATATAGAATATTTCTCAAGCCTTGAATTCAAAGACTTGCCATTGAGTGAGCAAACTTTAAAGGCAGTAGACATGCTTGGCTTTAAAAAGGCCACTGAGATTTAAGCCAGATCCATTCCTCACGTTCTTAATGGTAGAGATGTCCTCGGTGCTGCTAAGACTGGTTCAGGAAAGACATTAGCTTTTATGATCCCAGCTGTAGAGATGCTTCACAAGGCTCAGTTCACTTAGAAAAAAGGCACAGGAGTATTGATCATTGCTCCAACTAGGGAATTAGCAATGTAAAACTATAAATGGGCGAGAGACACTCTTTAATACCATAATAAAACTCACGGAGTTGTAATTGGAGGAGCAAAGAGATCATCTGAGGCTAACATGCTGAAGAAGGGAGTAAATCTATTGGTAGCCACTCCAGGTAGACTCTTAGATCATCTGTAGAACACCTAGGGCTTCGTATTTCACAATCTATCGATGCTGATTATTGATGAAGCAGATGCTATATTGAAGATAGGCTTTGAAGAGGAGATGAACCAGATTATCAAACTCTTGCCTAAAGAAAGAGTCACTTGTCTGTTCTCTGCAACTATGACTAAGAAGGTTGAGGATCTCTGCAGACTGTCTCTAAAGAATCCAGTTCTCATTGAAGTGAGCAAGGACTCAAGTACCTCTACAGTATCGAATCTAGAGTAGGGCTATGTAGTCATTGATCCAGCAAAGAAATTCCAACTTCTATTTACTTTCCTTAAGAAGAATCTGAAGAAGAAGGTCATGGTGTTTATGTCATCATGCAACGCAGTCAAGTTCTACTCTGACCTGCTGAATTATGTAGACATTCCAGTAAAGGACATTCATGGAAAGCAAAAGCAATAGAAGAGAACTTCAACTTACTTTGAGTTCTGCCAGGCTGAAACTGGTATTCTACTATGCACAGATGTAGCCTAGAGAGGTCTTGACTTTCCATCAGTTGATTGGATTATTCAATACGACCCACCCGATGATCCAGAAGATTACATTCACAGAGTTGGTCGTACAGCCAGAGGAGCAGACGGCAAGGGTAGAGCTCTGCTGTTCTTATTGGAGCACGAGATTGGTTTCTTGAGGTACTTGAGACTATCTAAGATCAAGCCAAACGAGTATGAATTCCCTGAGAATAAACTAGCTACAATCCAAGACTAATTCATGAAGCTTATTGAGAGAAATTACTATCTGAACTGCTCAGCTAAGGATGGCTATAGATCATTCCTTCAAGCTTATGCCTCTCATAAGCAAAGAGAGATATTTGATGTCAACCAGCTGGACTTACAGAAACTAGCTTAGTCATTTGGTCTAGCAGCACCACCAAGAGTAAACTTGAATGTTAAGGTGCAGGGAAGAACAGTTAGAAAGAATAAACTAAAGGAGCAGCTAGGAAAGAGAGCCAAGCCAGAGTTCAGAAGAGATAATAAATCCAGCGATTCAAGGCAGTTTTCTTATTGAAGTAGGATAAAATGACTTTGAAATAGGTGATATCAACTGAGCAATCCTATTATTTATGTTTTAATTAAGATTAATTTGTATTTAATTATCGCTGTGACTTTGATTTTGGTTATTCTTTCATCTGGGGTTTTGGGGTTTTGGGGTTTTGGGG